ATATCGATATAAATAATAATGAGGAAAAAGGCTTGTATACACTGCAGTATAGTAAAGTTATCCGGGTACACATAAATACACACACAATTTATTATTGTTCACATGTCAAAAAGACAAGCGATGTTAAGTTAGATAGTTCCGGGACAAGTACAGCCGTTCAATATTATTTTGTATTTAGTAAGTATTGTGTATTTAATGAGTGATATTGCGTTAAAATAAAAACATATGAACTAGAACTTAATATTTGATCTATCTTTTCTGAAGCTCCCGAGTTACGGTTAAAATATAATTCATAGGGCTCTGAAAACCCTCACTGAATCATCTAAATGTAACAGGTTCCTCACCCTACTATTCTTAAGAAACTAATATCCTACTTTTTAGCCCTTTTAAAATAATTGTTTGTGTGTGTGTTTACTATGATTTGATGATATACAGCATTAGAGGCCTGTACATTGTAATGCATGAACTATTAAAGATGAAGGTCTTAAATTCTTCACTGAACTTCTCCCATATCTAATGTTATTTCAACAAAAAAAATAAATGCTAAAGAAAAATCTAAAGCTAAAATTAATCTTTTTAGCGGTCAAAAAGTTGGTTATTTTTTTTTAATTCTGTGAACTGAAGATCACCAGATAATTTGACATAATATACAAATACAATTGTAAATACAATGTCATTATATTTGAACACCCTTAAAATAAAAAATAAAAATGCGTTAAAAATAAAAAGTTCTAAGAATGGAATTAAAAAATACAAAATAAAAGTTTCGTTTTTAAATTCTTCGAGATCTGACCAAAGGAATTTTGTTGTTTGAAAAGCAACGTTAAAAATAAATGCAATTTGTCATTTAAATCCACTCCCAAATTATAGTATTATCGTATAATATATACCGGTACGAAAATGTGCAGACGAAGACCAGGAGACGGCTCTGACAGTCTCGTGAAAATCTTACCACCCCGCGGGGACGATAGATCTCGTTCGTATCTATATATTACATTATAATAATATAAATATATATTAAATTTTTATGGACTTGCGCTAAGAAAATTTTAATATATACAATAGAACAACGACTACTAAAAGAGCAGCGTTTCTTAAAAAATAAATGTTATTATATGATCGCGTCGAGGATTTACCGGCCGGTCGTAAAACTCGAGCCTCCCGGGCCTCTCTCAACACCAAGAATATCAATTTAGCGACGACGACGACGACCGCCGAGTTTTGCGTTTCTCGCGGAGTGTGCGCATCTTGATGACGATAGAAATAATAATAAATAATATATTAAAATATTAATATAATATACGTGGAGAGCAAACACGCAGCGGCAGCTGATGATTGATACCTGTCGTTATAAATGACGTGGAAAGAAAAAAAAACAACGGGCGCGTGTTCGATGTATTAAAAAAAAAATATGTTATACGCGTATTACCGTGCGTGTACCTCTATATGTGTACCTAGTGGGATTTTTTTTATATATATTTCTTCCAAAAGCGTAATAATTCATCAACCGCGATTTAATGGCTCCGACCGGTTGCGCAATCGTAGTCGAAAAACCGAGAGGAGAGGAGTTATCGCGCGCGCGCGTTCAATTTTACGGTACATTATCCATTCGGTCCATATTAGTGGTTGAGTGAGGTTAAAAACTGGCTTCCGGTCATACGGGGCCCGTTCGGTTAAACAAACATAATATTTTTCCAATAATATTATCTGTAACGGCGTAAATACGCGTAGGTTGGTGGACCTATATTATAATAATAATATATACATTACAATATCAGGTATACCTATATATTATATTATGGTGAATAATGTGTGCGCTAGTATATATAATGCACGTAATATATTATTATTTATGTATACACTGCGTTTTATATTGGTAGGTATACCAACTACTATACCTAGGTATAATATGTTATACACTCCGCGCATGTAGAATATAATATTATGGACAGAACGATTTATAACTAAAAAAATGATATCGGCCAATTAGTCGTCACGGTAATATTTCCCCAGTGACCATTAAACGAGTGTACATTTGTGTTCATAAATGAATAATAATAAAAATATAAATAACTATAGATTTATTTTGGAAACGTCATCGCCGTATACTACGTCGTTGTACGAAATACATATTATCGCTAACGTGAGTCTCTATAACTACATGGCTGTAGCTGCTGGTGTACTTATATTATAATATTATACATAATGCTCCAGGGTAGATATGTGTGTATGTACGCTACGAATAATTTAAAACCACTCACCAATCGTGTATAATATAATATTATACAATATTATTATTTATGGACTACATTATTATTAATACCGAGTACCTATATAAGAACGAAATAATGAAATTTTCAAACGATTTTGCAATATTGATATATGGGTACACGTCCTACATCATATCATATTATCATCGTGTTATGAAAAAATACATTTTCGTAAAGTTGTACATGTCAGAAGCATAAAATATATTATAGACTTAGGATTTGATCACTTCAATTGAAGCCTACTGTGGAGCACCGAGGAGTAAACTAACTGAAAATTTACAGTGATGGGGGGGGGGGGGTGATATTTAAATGATAAAAATATTCAGAACTAAAAATGAACTTTTGAATATTTATACAACCGATTGAAATCTGAATCAAAATATGGGATCATAAAAGATCTATGAACATCAAGTGAAGTTTCATTGTAGAAAACAATATTTACGACTGTTTAAATAAATAAACTGCACACCTCCAGCAGAATGTTGTTCAAAAACAGATAAGACTATAAAAGACATCTACTTATATATATTATTATACACACGTATACGCAAGTATACAAAGAATTTTTAGAGTAATCCAAAATATTATAAAGTACGGTAATATCGGAATCGTCGAAGATGTAGGGTAGGTATATATGATTGCATATAATATTATAATACTATAATGATTGACAATTGTTCGATATACCGGTTATCCGATTTAAATACCTCCAAACTTACTTGTCACACATGACACTGGATACAAGATAGGTATTATAAACTATTGGCACTTACGCGCCAGAATGGTTATTCGGTTTCGACGACTTTTAATATCGTTCAGATCACACGTATAAACACACGACTAGTGGTCATAGGCGTGCGCACGGGAGGGGCAGGGTGGGCAGCTGCCCCTCCTGCGGGCTCAAGTTTTCTTACAAAATAACAAAGTTTTTAAAAAAATATTATAATACAGTTTTATATAATGAATATTATGTAAACATTGAGTGCTCGATGTACAGTGCACGATGATTTTATGTTGTCCAACTTTAAGCGAACCACAAGCGATACCGCGGTGATAACGAGTGCTTATAATCTTATTATAGCATGATGTAGATTGAGATGTGATGAGACATGAAAGTGAGTAGTAATTTGACGGCATTTAATGCGAAAAACGTTCACCGGAAGCGCTAAGAAGGTCGGTTCTTTAAATAATTAGTAATTAATAATTATAATAATTAGTATGCAGTATACGAACAAATATTATAGCTCTTTACTTCCGAAGCAATTTTCGGAATTTTTAGTATTTTAGTAGTTTTATGCTCAACGTGTTGATTAAATCAGAATATACCTATCTTTTTTTTTAATGTGGTGTTTTATATTGAAATTAATTTTCTATTTATACTGTAACCTACAAATCAAATTGTTTATTATATACCTAATACTATTAAATACCTATAAAGTATAATTTATAAAACAGTTTAAATAATAGGTTACATGCCTACAATAATGTATAAATTTCAATATTACCAAAGAATAGAATATTATTGATACATTAATGCATGATATAATAGTGGTACTATTTTTGGAAAAATCATGTAAATGCAATACTAAGGATTTACATTTTTTTTTAAATGTTGATATTTATATGTTCAACGTGTTGGTGCAAATAATAATTTACCTATCTTACTTACTTTTTTTGTAATTGTAAATAAATAGTAAGTAGAATTAGTAAATTCAGATTTCACCAACACATCGGGCATAAAAATATATATGAATGCAGTGGCGGATCCAGGGCTTAATTTTGGGAGGGGCATGGGGGCTCAAAAGTATATGAAAGTTCCAAAATTGGCTAAACACAGTGTAAAACAAAGGAAAACTACGGTTATTGGGGGGGGGGCAAATGCCCCCTTTTCCATCCCCCTGGATCCACCACTGTATGAATGTAATAATTTTCTTTGTTCATGTATATTAATATAATATAAAAAAACTTTGGAGTTTCAATTACTATATTAAATTTGTAGTTATTTGTAGTTTTAATGATACATAAAATGAAAATACTTCCATCACTTACATTAATTGAACTAATAACCAAAATAATATTTACTTACCTATATATTATATAATATACCTATAGGTACATTATTACATTCTGCCCCCCCTGCCAGTAAGGTCTGCGCACGCCTATGCTAGTGGTGAGGTGTGTCGGGGTGGATATGACATCTTATCGAAGCCACTCAAACGTTACACGAGCGACACAGACAGAAAGATTAATTATTTTCTCCTGTATATTTCTCCTATGCAGTATGCAGGGTTAAATAGGTAGGTGCCTGCTAAAATATATATTACATAATTACTTCAAAAAGAATATAAGCAGGGGACTGCGCGACCACCGCTAATAATTTTGTTTGTTCGCGCCACTGAATATTATGCTGTATATAGCAGAGCTATTTAATAATATACGATATATAATATTAATAACACACACAACCGCAACAAACATCGATCAGCAGCTGACTAGAATCGTAAAAAAGTCACTCGGTGGCGGCGATATATCCATATAATATATATGTATGTGTCATATATATAATATTGTATGTACGTCAGTACGTCGCGGGTTGTTGCTCCGAGTATATAGACGATAAATGGCGAGTCTAACAAAAACGCTTTTTCCGCCACTTTGTGTTATTAGGCATATATATGTCTGTGTCCTTCTCCTCCTCCTCGTCCTAGCTCCGTCATCGCCGCAGCAGCCCTACACGATCCTGCCCCCACGGTCGCCGCCGCGGCCGTTACGGGAAAATCGTATTTCTGCAGCACAAAGCACACCAGCACAATGGCCCCAAAAGCCCAAATTCGTCTCGGTGCCAGTCGTATCGACGCCACTGCCGCCGCAGCGTTCGCCAGGACAGATGTACGCGCGTCCGCCGGGGAACGGCCGTCGTCGAGCGGCGGCGTCGTCGTTGACGAGGGGAGACCTGCTGCAGCTCGCTGGATAACACCCGGCAGCCATTATTACGACTATTATTGGTAATCTCTGCATACAGTGTACATATATACTATTTTATTAGTGGTTCGTATTATTATACTTACATTATAATATATATATATATATATATAAATGCATTGTATATAATATTGTGTATTGTGTGTGTGTGTGTGCGTGTATTATATCTATGTATATTATATTATGTATTAGGTACTTATTGTATATTAATGTATTTCGCGATGTAGGTATAATGTGTAATATTCTACTTGTCCGTCCATAAAAGCGTGCACTGGGAAAAAGCTTGTATATTTTGAAGAAATTGAAATGTGCCATCGATTACGTATTATATAATATTATATAAAATGAGATGAAAATCTATATAATATACAAATAATAAAAGTAAAAATAATACAAATACAAATATTTATTATTATAAAATATATCGCAGAAGTCATGAGTGATTCAAATTATTTTTAGTTAAAATGATAAAAAAATTATACATTTAAGAAATTAGTATTGTTTTTAATAAGTACCAGGCACTTCATACATTTTTGCATAAACTATATTATTCAATGTATAGTCTTAAAAAAACAAATATAGTAAAATGTTGAATACTTCCGAAAACATGTCAAGATATAAAAATGTTTATTTGATAATTTTATTTATTTAAATTTTATTTAGCTTATAAATCATTTAAAATAATAAAATATGCAATTAAAAATCGCGGTATCCGTACGACATGAATTATAGCAATAACATAGCAACAATTTGAAATCAGTCATTTATGATACAAATTCTTAAATTCTTATCATAAATATAGAATCTTACAGGACCTCATGGTGAATACCTACATTGTTGGCTTTCCTATAGTTTCTTCGTCTTCTATACATTCGACTTACCGATAGAGTAAGACGTATTATATAATTTACCACGTTTTACCTAGGTGTACCACTATTATAGTATTGTTTTTTATTAGACTCTATGTGAATGCTAACACTGTAAAAATAATTTCGTTAACGACATTCAACAATCCTCGGTATTTCAATTTATTGTTTGGATAATCCACGTAAATCACTCGATTGCAATGTGAATTATACTGCAATATGAACCATGTCGCATTTCATAAAAACCATAGCAGGTCCTCTACAAGGAAAATCTATGAATCGTAAGTATATTTTTGTTAATAAATATCCATGACAACGAAAACCATACAAAAAATCGGTTTGCACCAAAAAAAAACGTGTATCTAGCCCAAAAACATATTTATGGTAAAATATTACGATTTGTATTAAATATATCGATGAGAAAATATAATAATTGCAAGCAGTGATGTCTGGAATATATATTTTTATGATTTTCTAACTCCTCTTTCGCAGTGTACAGTGTAAGTAATATGTATATTATTATAAATTATAATCATCTGCTTTATGTCGCCCTATATGACTATATGAAAATAAAATATAAAGGTTATAACGGGCGCGGTAACATTATAATAATATAGTATAATTCCGGGGAAAAATTACAAAAATTTGATTTTTATTTTCTGGTTCACGCGCCTGGAGGTGTTTCGTAGAATTAAATTATTTTTATGGCGTTTGAGTAGGTATAAAAAATATAGTCGTGCTATTAAAAAGAGAAGAGTATAATATTGCATATAATATAATATATTATGTACATATACAAATACAAATTGTTGCAACATTTGAGAACAAAGACGACTTGTAGTCTTTGAAGTATCATATTTTAAAATAAACAAACCTATATACATTTTCAATGGATTAGCTATGTATATAACTAAGTCGCAGTCTGTAAATTATATTGCATTAAAATACTATGGGTTTTGACATATTTTATGCGATAATTAATATCCACCAATAGTTATAAAAATATATCTACATGGATTCTTCTTACCTATATTATATTTAGCATCATACTGTCCTCTAAACCAATGATTATTAAAAAAAACCGGGATAACTACATTTCGTCGTAAACAAAACAAAAAAATATTGTGGAGTGAATAAAAACACATAGGTAGGTTAGGTTATAAATAAATCAATATGTTCCTGACTATTTTATATAATATCTGTCGATGATCATATTACAATAAAGTGTATAGTGTGGCGACATTATAATATTTATATAACACAATTATGTACCTATACATATATAGACAGAGATGGTTGTAAAACAAACGAAGGGACAAATGTAGTGATGGTATGGTATGTTTATAATATTTATTATAGCTGTTATATGTAGTATGTATACATATTATATTATATGAGTACTTAACATCCGGCGCCGTATTATATGTTATATTCTATTATACACACAGTATGTTATATATTATGTTATGACAATAATATTGGGTAAATAATGAATAAATAACATTCACGTGAGTTCCCAAATGTGTGAGGCTACCCGGAAATGAAAGAGCAGGGTTAATAAAACCAACAAAGTCACCACATATCTCAGTATCCCTAAAAAAATTAATTTAAAAAATACAAGACCAGAGACACTTGACATTATTAAAACTTAAAATCAAAATAGCGGAAGTTATGGTTGTAAGACCAATGAAATTGGAATAACTTAGGTACACCTACCTGGCTACCTCTCTCTATTAAGCTCAACATTTAAAAATGGAAATATCCCTCGGCAGACATTACAATAAAATAGAAAATAGTACTATTACCACTTGAGTGATAATATTTTGGACAAAATCAATCTTCTCACTCAACATATTTTGAAGAGATATTACTGATATTAGAATGAATCAAGCTTGAAAATAATATAGTGATTAGTGATCAACCGATAAGCTAAATATTATATAAAACTCAAGTACGTAAAATCTTCAACAATACTCATATTTTCTTCGCTATGACTAGCATTTGATAAAAAAATTACAAGACAATCTATGTTTTCTATTATAAGTACCTATCTAATACAATAAACTGAAGCTAGACATTTGTAAAAACTGTAAAAATTAGATTTGATATTATATAATATAGGAACGTCATATATTATAAGATGTACATTTACTTCACTTTGAGCAATAGTATACAATTCAGAGGTTCTTAAACTTTTGGTGAACACGGACTTTTAGAAATCACGGAACAATTTTCTTTCGAATTCGTTTTTTTTTACAGAATATCTCATGTTATCGAAGTCAACTTTTCAATATTTATTTTGTATTACAAATCTCATATTAAGCAGGTATTTACTTCCATTAAAGATTGTTATTGAAACACATAATTCATCATAAAAATGTAATATTTGATTTTTAGATAGAGCCGCCTCGAACCCTTGAAATGAGTGTCGCAGGGTGCAGAGGACCATGGTTTAAGAACCGTTGGTCTGAATAGCTTGGATTGTTGAACATTTAAAAAAAACTCACTCGAGACGCGTATTAATATATAATATAGTGTGCGTGCTTGAAATATATATTGTAAAATATTATAATATATTGTTTGTATAATATTATTTACTTTACATTATTATAAAATAGTCTCCGCCACAGTTCGATACACGTCGTCGTCGATTATCAAGTGTTGGCAGTGATATAATAAAACGAGTGCTAATATATATTATATTTAGGTAGTATATATTATTATTATGTTGATGGGACGGGTGCGGGGCCGTGTAAGTCGGATTTCACACGGATTCGGTATAGGCAAGTACCGCGTTTCGGTACATATACGGTCGATTTGCGCCACCCAACCGTATCAGGTCGCGGGTATCAGTCCGGCGTGTCATTTTATCTAACCGCTTTTTAGACACGCGGTAAATGAACGTGGCGGATCGAAATACGATTTAAACGCACACGTAACACGCGCTCGCTTGAAATCTCAATTATTGTGTACTAACTATATGCTGCACCATCTTCGGGCATATCGAAAACCTCGGCGAATATAATATAATATTATTCCACGCCTTTTTCTTATTGGCAAAAAAATAATGATGCGTACTATAAAATAAACAATTTTTTTTATGATAATGTTGCATAATATTATTATATAGGTACCGCATTATTATTATTAACTATTGCAAAATATCGAATAATTTAGATTTCTTTGAACTCGAAAGCCCTATCGAATATAATACAACAATACTCTGAATAAGACCATTTTAAATTCTGAATGTGTGTGTGTGTCAAAAACCTTGAAAATGTAATATTAGGTTCCTCGTAGGATGGGTGTTATTGGAAATTAAAAAAAAAGTTGAGCGTAAATCCACAATAATTTTTTACGAGCGTCTAAAATTCGTAAAAGTCAAGTGTATCAACACAATTTTTTTAATTGACATTTTATTTTTAACTTTTACAAAATAAAATGTTTTTGAATTTAAATATACCTACTTATATTATGTAACCATGGAATATAATAAAACACTATATTGTTTGCCCATTTATTACTCGTATTATAGTAATAAATAGTTACAGAATATTATTTTTGTATTCTCCACAAGACATCATTATAAAAAATTGTTAAAATATTTCGACACGACTTTTTGCAGTTAAATCCAGATGAACTCGAATTCTTAGAGACCGTGGACCACTCGGTAGAATCCTCGAATATGCGTGGAAATGCATGAGTACTTCGTTCCAAGAAAACCAGATATTATAAATTTATAACTGAAGAAAATGTAACAGACTGTCTCTGTAGTAAAAACGTGCCAATACCCATAACGTTAAAAACGTCAATGATGCCTACGCAGGTGCAAATGTTTAACCCTGTCCGGCAGCTAGACACGTCTTATAGACGACGTAAGAACAATATGGTCAAGTCTGCAGGTAAAATCGTCCTCTTGGACGCATTAGCAAAATCCTCGAGAGCGGCGCCCATACAACGTTCGTTTAACGTCTTGCTGTCTGTGCGAAGAGATTCGTTATAAAGGCTGAGCAGACCAAGATTACTGCTTCGACAATGATGAGTTCTGTCCCGCAGCCTTTGATGATGCTATTAAGTCCACGGCCGGTCGAAGTCAACTTCGTTGATGAAAATATGTTTAGATATATAATATACAGCAGA